TTTTAGACTCCGCCCCCTGCCCCATCAGATAATTGGATTCTGCCTCTCCGCCAATGAGACTCTGCCTTCCCTTCTTCCAGCCAATCTGATACTCCTTTTCTTCTTTTCAGCCAGTTATATTCCATGCTCAATCAATTAAACTACTCTCCTAACTTTTGGCCAATCAGATCTTGCCTTTCCCCTGCCTTTTCCCACCTAGTCAACCATCTTTCAGTTCCTCAGCCAATCAGGTTCTGCTCTCCCACCACTGAGCCTATCACAAACAACCCTTTAATGGCTCAGCCAATAAAAATGCTTCATTAGGTGACGTAGGCTAATATGTAGTTCCAGCTCACTTGAAAGCGCAGAGGCTTTGGGTGCGTCATCGTGCTTCAGTCTTCCCAGCTGTATGGGTACGAGCATCCTCTTTTTCTCTCGGGGTGGCCCCAAGTTTCCAACGAGCAAGTGGGTAATGAAAAGTGCTCTCTAGGAACGTGAAGTGGGAGCGTCATTTCTCCAACTTCCTCAAAATCTCCTAAAACTGATCTCTCGGGACCAGCAGTTAGTGTAATGGCTATGTCACTGGACTCCCATGTAGTGGACCATGGTTCAAGTCCTGGACCCCGTGGCTTAAACTCCAGGCGCGTGTGCGTGCGTGCCCAAGATCCCGAGAGGAGAATGGAGGAGAAGGGAATGCGGCGTGGCCATCCGCCCTGGGGGGTGATTTCTTGCTTTCTGTCTCTCTGTCTCTCGCTGTCTTTCTGGCGAGCACACGCGCCCTATAGCGAAAACCTCTCCATAAAAAAAACTATTTATCCTCCAAATCCAGCTGCAGCAGCTTCTCCTCCAGGAACCTTTGGTCCTTTTGCAGACTGTCCTTTAGATCTCCCTCTGGGCAATGGTCACAGGAGACTAAGAGTGGATGACAGTCTTAGTGTAATAGCTATGTCACTGGACCCCCTTCTTGTCCACCGCGGTTTGAGTCCCGGACCCAGTGGCTTAAACTCACGCTGGGCGCGTGTGTGTGCGTGCCCAAGATCCCGAGAGGAGAATGGAGGAGAAGGGATTGCGGCGTGGCCATCCCCTCGGGAGGTGATTTCTCGCTTACTGTCTCTCTGTCTCTGTCTGGCTGGCAAGCACACACGCCCTATAGCAAAAAAACTCTCTTAATACATAAATAAATAAATAAAAATTTAAAAATAAATCACACTGGGCATATATGCATGTATGTCCAAAATCCCAAGAAGTGATGTGGCATGACCAGTAACCTCAGAAGATGATTTCTCTCTCTCTCTCTCTCTTTCTCTCTCTCTCTCACACATGCGCCCTAAGGGGAAACAAATGGAGGCTTCTCTGAGCCTTCCAGAGTAGTAACTTGCCTGGGTTACACAGCCTCGTGCAAACAGTCAGGACTTGATCTCTTTCTTTCTTTCTTTCTTTTTTTTTTTGGAGAGGTGTTTTCGCTATAGGGCGCATGTGCTAGCCAGACAGACAGAGAGAGACAGAGAGACAGAAAGTGAGAAATCACCCCCCAGGAGGGATGGCCACGCCGCAATCCCTTCTCCTCCTCCATTCTCCTCTCGGGATCTTGGGCACGCACGCACACGCGCCCGGCATGAGTTTTAAGCCACCGGGTCCAGGGCGTGAACCGTGGTCGACTATGTGGGAGTCCAGCGACATAGCCATGACGCTAACTGCTGGTTCCCAGGACTTGATCTCTTGTGATTCATCTGAGTTTCCCTAGACTCAGAGCTGAGTGTGGAAAAGTCCCTCATTTTCATAAGCTCACTTAGGAGCCAAGAAAATTCATAATCACAATAAAAGTCCAATAGTCAATAGATGTTTCCAGAAGACTGCAGGCCAGGCACTGGTCTCAGACCCAGGTGGGCAGTGCTAAAAAGGACGGGTTACTATCCCACTGGAGACAGCAGTAAACAACTGAATAAGAGAATTAGAGGGTGGTGTGGTGGTTAAAGGCGCTGAACTTCCACATAGCCAGCCGTGTTTCAAGCCCTAGGCCTGGTGGCTTCCTTTCTCACTTTCCCTCTCTCCCTTGCTCTCTATCTCTTTCTAGTTAAATTGGAAAATAATAATAATAATAATAAATAAAGTTAAAATAATTGTTTTTTGTTTTTGTTTTGTTTTTGTTTTTTGTTTTTTAAAGACGGTATGAGATAGGGATCTAAGTAATAGGATGAAGTCACAGGGAGAAACTTGAACCCAGTTTCAGTAAGGTGATCAGGGCAGGTTTCTAAGAAAGAGGAAGTGGGGACCAGCAGTTGATGTTAATGGCTATGTCCCTGGACTCCCATGTAGCCGATCACGGTTCGAGTCCTGGACCCGGTGGCTTAAACTCATGCCGGGCACGTATGTGTGCGTGCCCAAGATCCGGAGAGGAGAATGGAGGAGAGGGGATTGCGGCATGGCCATCCCCCTGGGGGGTGATTTCTCGCTTTCTGTCTCTCTGTCTCTCTCTGTCTGGCAAGCGCACGTGCCCTATAGCAAAAAAAAAACTCTCAAAAAAACAAAAACAAAAACAAGAGGTGTAAAAGAAAAAAAAAGGAAAACTCCACTATGTTGCAAATTGTTCCCTTATAAAGGATACATCTGGAATGATGGTGCCATTCCTCAGACTTGGGAAGACCTAGGGTGCAATGACCTGATTGATGGGTGCGGAATTGGAAGCAAGGTTTGTGCAAGAGGTGAAATCATTGGGGTAAAAGTTCTGGCCTGCTGGCCATGACTGAGGAAGGGGAGACCCACTGTGAAGTCATTGCCATGAACGTGGAGGATCCTGAGGCCAATTGTAATGATGTTAATGATGTCAAACGCCTGAAACCTGCCTACCTAGAAGCTACTGTGAACTGGTTTAGAAGGTACAAGGTTCCTGGAGACCAGCAGGTGGCATGGTGGTTAAAGTGCTGGATACTCCCACATGGCTCGACCACGGTTCGAGTCCTAAACTTGGCGGCTTGCTTTTTCACTTTCCCTCTCTCTCTGATCAAATTGAAATAAACGAATGAATGTTTTACAAAATTAAATAAATAATTTATGGGACCAGCAGTTAGCATAATGGCTATGTCACCGAACTCCCATGTAGCAGATCGTAGTTCTAGTCCTGGACCAGGCGGCTTAAACTCATGCCGGGCGCGTGTGCGTGCGTGCCCAAGATCCCGAGAGGAGAATGGAGGAGAAGGGATTGCGGCGTGGCCATCCCCCCTGGGGGGGGGGTGATTTCTCGCTTTCTGTCTCTCTGTCTGTCTCTGTCTGTCTGGCGAGCACATGCGCCCTGTAGCAAAAACCTCTCCAAAAAAAAAAAAAAAAAAGAAAAGAAAAATGACACCACATACATGTGCATGTGTGTCCAAAATTTGGAGAGACTTAAGGAGAAGGAATTGTGGCACGAACCTTCCCGCTAGGGGAGGATTTCTCACTTTCTTTCTCTCTTTCTGTCTCTGTCTCTCTCCAGCAAGCACACACACTTTATAACAAAAAAGAAAAATACATGGGAACCAGCAGTTAGCGTCATGGCTATGTCGCTGGACTCCCACGTAGTCGACCGCGGTTCACGTCCCGGACCCGGTGGCTTAAAACTCACGCCGGGCGCGTGTGCATGCGTGCCCAAGATCCCGAGAGGAGAATGGAGGGGAAGGGATTGCGGTGTGACCATCCCCCCTGGGGGTGATTTCTTGCTTTCTGTCTCTCTGTCTCTTTCTGTCTCTCTGGTGAGTGTACGTACCCTATAGTGAAAAACCTCTCCAAAAAAAAAATAAAAAGACTCTGTTGAGAGAAGCCAGCAGGTGGCCTGGTAGTTACGGTGCTGAACTCCCACATAGCGAACCACAGTTCAAACTTTCTCTCTCTGCATCCCTCTCTGGTGAGCACATTTGTCCTATAGCAAATTAAAAATGATAGGGCCTAGGGCCGGCGGGTGGCGTGGTGGTTAAGGGCACTGAACTCCCATGTGGTCTATCATGGTTCGAGTCCTGGATCTAGCAGCTTGCTTTCTCACTTTCCCTCTCTCTTGCTGTCACTCTCTGGTCACATTTAAATAAAGACATACATAAAAAAGAATTTTAAAAAAAGACGTACATAAATAAAGTTAAATAAAAATAATTTTTTTTGGGGGGGGAGATTTTCACTGTAGGGCACGTGCGCTCGCCAGACAGACAGAGAGAGACATAGAGACAGAAAGCGAGAAATCACCCCCCAGGGGGGATGGCCACGCCGCAATCCCTTCTCCTCCATTCTCCTCTCGGGATCTTGGGCACGCACGCACACGCGCCCGGCGTGAGTTTTAAGCCACCGGGTCCGGGACATGAACCGCGGTCGACTATGTGGGAGTCCAGCGACATAGCCATTACGCTAACTGCTGGTTCCAATAAAAATAATTTTTTAAAAAGAAAAAGATAGGGCCGGCAGTTGACATGGTGGTTAATGGCATTGGACTCCTACATGGCTGACTATGATTCGAGTCCTGGACCTGGCAGCTTTCTTTCTCCCTTACCTTCTCTCTCTCTCTCTCTCTCTGTCCCTCTCTGGTCAAATTAAAATAAATGAATAACTAAAGTTGAATACAATAATTATTTTTAAAAATGATCATAATAGGGGTCCAGCAGGTGGCATGGTAGTTAAAGGCACTAGACTCCCACATAACCGACTGTGGTTTGAGTCCTGGACCTGGTGGCTTGCTTTCTCTCTCTCTCTCTCTCTCTCTGTCCCTCTCTGGTCAAATTAAAATAAATAAATAAAGGTAAATAAAATCATTCTTTAAAAAAAAAAAAAAAGAAAAAAATGCCCTGTCGTTTCTCTGTCTCTCTCTCCTCGTGGAAGAAACACAGGAACTGTAAATAAACAAAGGTTTTCAAGCCTTCTGAGCTGTTCCATTGTCCCATGCAGGGTGACACCCGCTGGGAGCCTGGGAGTGCTCAGGAAATAGTCTCCCAGGCCAGGCCAACATCTGGCTCCATTCACCCCACATTCACTTTGGCCCCTCACATACTGCCAAGGGCTGAACTCACCTTATGGTTGCAATATCCTCTTTCCTGGGTTACAAAATCCCTCCCCGTTCCAGGACCAGGTGTCTGAGCGATGAAATCTCACCTCTGCTCTCCTAGAGAGAGGCCACTTCTTCCGCCCGGAGTGACAGCTGCAGGGTCCATGGTTCACGGCGTGACTTGCGTGTCCCTTTGGCAAACAAGGCCCAACCAATTTGGGGACTGGTTACGGATTGTCTTTTATGATTTGGCTACTGTTCCAGACTGGCTCAAGGCCCGGCCCTTAGGTACAACCAGTTGCTGGGGTGTGAGGCTGGGGGCCAACAGGGAAGCCCTGAGCTTGGACAAATGCCCCAGCTGTAGAAATAATACACGATCGTGAGTCTGCAGTCCTCCAGGATGTGGGTGTCAGGACATAAACACTTAAACAGATTACTCTTATTTATTTATTTTTTTTCTGAGAGGTTTTTGCTATAGGGCGCGTGCGCTCGCCAGACAGAGAGAGAGAGAGAGAGACAGAAGGCGAGAAATCATCCCCCGGGGTGGGGGGTGGGGGGCACAGGATGGCCACGCCGCAATCCCTTCTCCTCCATTCTCCTCTCGGGGTCTTGGGCACGCACACACACGGGCCCAGCATGAGTTTTAAGCCACCGGGTCCGGGATGCAAACCGCTGTCGACTACGTGGGAGTCCAGCGGCATAAGCATGACGCCAACTGCTGGTTCCAACAGATTATTCTTGTAGGCAGAACTAAGCTCTGCTGGGGAGGCTGGGAAGGTGGGAGGGATGGCAGGCACCCAGGTGGCCTCTGCTCCCAATTCTCTTGCATCAAATGTTTCTCACGCGCTGGCACTGTTTTAAGCGTGTTATAAACAACCCACCCACCCCCCTTATTTTTATTTATTTATTTATTTATTTATTTGGCTTTTGGTATAGGGCAACTATGCTCACCAGAGAGAGACACAGAGAGAGAGAGGGAAAGTGAGAAATCACCCCCCAGGGGGGATGGCCATGCCATAATCCCTTCTCCTCCATTCTCCTCTCGGGATCTTGGGCACGCACGCACACACGCCCAGCGTGAGTTTAAGCGACCAGGTCCGGGACTCGAACCACCGTCGCCAACGTGGGAGTCCAGCGACATAGCCATAACGCCAACTGCTGTTCCCGATCACCTCTTTTAATCCTCAAAGTAACCCTGCAAGTGGTATTGTTCTTCCATTTTAGAGTTGGGCAAAATGAATATGTACTTGAGACATTTAAATTCAAGTGGGTTGGCTCAGAAGGGGTCAGCAAACTTTTTATTCATTTTTTTTAAATTTGCCATAGAGGGACCAGCAATTGGCATCATGGCTATGTCGTTGGACTCCCATGTAGTCAACCACAGTTCGAGTCCCGGACCCGGTGGCTTAAACTCATGCCAGACACGTGTGCATGTGTGCCTAAGATCCCGAGAGGAGAATGGAGAAGGGATTGTGGTGTGGCCATTCCCCCGGGGGGGTGATTTCTCATTTTCTGTCTCTCTCTGTCTCCCTGTCTCTCTCTGTCTCTCTGGCGAGCCCACACGCCCTATAGCAAAAACCTCTCAAAACAAAAACAAAACGCTATTTAGAGATTGCTAGAGTCTAGGGAAGGGAAAATGAGGTTTTAATTTGGAGTGATTAAAATGGGGACCAGCAAGTAGCATGATGGTTAAGGTGCTGGACACTCCCACATGGCTGACCATGGTTTGAGTCCCAGACCTGGTGGCTT